TGATAATTTTTTTCAATTTTTGAAACAATTATTTCCCTCTTTTAGTCTATTGTCTTGAGGTTCTCTGTATCTATTGAATTTATTGATTATGGTAGAGTCGGAAACAAGAAGAATCAGTAGTTGTGAAATACAGCCTTGGTGATAGAAATGACGCCAGAGATCACATGGTAGAATTTTGCAAGACCAAAGACCTGTTCATTGGAAATACCTTTTTTCAACAACATAAATGGCGACTATACGTGTCGACTTTGCCAGACAGAATACACAGGAATCAAATCAACTACATCTGTTGAAAGAAATGATAGAGAAGTTCAGTATTATCAGTCAGAATAAGGCCAGAGGCCGATTGTGAACAAACCATTAGTTGCTCATACGCAAGTTCATGTTGAAGCTGAAGAAAATTAAAACAGGTCCACAAGAGTGACCTTGAGTTTATCCCACTTGGATTGAGAGACCATCTCAAGAATAGATTTAGATGCATTGAACATTAATGACTGAAGACGAGACAAGTTATGGGATGACGTCAAGGATATCATACATGAAGAAAGCCACCAAAAACGAAACCTGCTGCCGTCAAGTCCATTCCGACTTCTAGCAACCCTATAGGAAGGACAGAGTAGAACTGCCCCATTGTGTTTCCAAGGAGCACCTGGTGGATTCAAACCGCCGACCTTTTGGTTAGCAGCTGTAGTTCTTAACGACTACGCCACCAGGGTTTCCATGAAGAAAGCAAAAGCTCATTAAAAAGATGGGAAAGAAAGAAAAGACCAAAATAGATGTCGGAAGAAACGCTGGAACTTGCTCTTGAACGTAGAGTCGCTAAAGCGAATGGAAGAAATGATGAAGTGAAAGAACTGAATAGACGATTTCAAAGGGCGGCTCGAGAAGATAAAGTATTACAATGAAATGTGCAAAGACCTAGAGTTACAAAACCAAGAGGGAAGCAGTATTTTCAAGCTGAAGCTGAGGGAAAAATTCAAGCCTTGAGTTACAATTTTGAAGAATTCTATGGGCTAAATATTAAAATGACGCAGGAAGCATCAAAAGCAGATGGAAGGAATACATAGAGTCATTGTACAAAAAAAATCGGTCAACGTTCAGCCATTTCAGGAGGTAACGTGATCAAGAATCGATGGTATCAAAGGAAGAAGTCCAAGCTGCACTGAAGGCATTGGCGATAAACAAGGCTCCAGGAATGGACGGAATACCAAGTGAAATGCTTCAACAGACGGATGCGACGCTGGAAGTCCCCACTCGTCTATGCTGAGAAATTTGGAAGACGGCTACCTGGGCAACTGACTAGAAGAGATCCATGTTTGTGCCCATTCCAAAGAAAGGTGATCCAACACAGTGTAGAAATTATCTAGCACAGTATTATTAATATCACACACGAGTAAAACTTTGCCGAAGATAATTCAAAAAAGTTTGCAGCAGTACATCAACAGGGAACTGCCAGAAGTTCAAGCTAGATTCAGAGAAGGACATGGAACCAGGGGTATCATTGTTGATGTCAGATGGATCTTTGCTGAAAGCAGAGAATACCAGAAAGATGTTTACCAGTGTTTTGTTGATTATGCAAAGGCATTTGATTTTGTGGATCGTAACAAATAATGGCTAACATTGTGAACAATAGGAATTCCGGAATACTTAATTGTGCTCATGCAGAACCTGCACATAGACCAAGAGGCAGTTGTTCGAAAAGAACAAGGGGATACTGTATGGTTTAAAATCAGGAAAGGTGTGCATCAGGGTTGTATCCTTTCACCATACTTACTCAGTCTGTATGCTGAGCAAATAATCCGAGAAGCTGGACTATATGAAGGAGAACAGGGCATCAGGATTGGAGAAAGACTCGTTAACAACCTGTGTTATGCAGATGACGCAACCTTGCTTGCTGAAAGTGAAGAGGGCATGAAGCAGTTACTGATGAAGATCAGAGACCACAGCCTTCTGTATGCATTACACCTCAACATAGAAAACCAAAATCCTCACAACTGGACCAGTAAGCAACATCATGATAAATGGAGAAAAGATTGAGGTTGTCAAGGATTTCATTTTACTTGGATCCACAGTCAACACCTGTGGAAGCAGCAGTCAAGAAGTCAAAAGATGCATTGCACTGGGCAAATCAGTGAAGAAGAGGAAGACTCTCAACAAGATGAATTGACACAGTGGCTGCAACAATGGACTCAAGCATAGCAACGATTGTGAGGATGGCACGGGACCACTCAGTGTTTCGTTCTGTGGTGCATAGGGTCGCTATGAGTTGGAGCTGACTTGATGGCACCTAACAACAAAAACAATCAATGCCCATGGAAGCAGCAGTCAGGAAATCAAAGGATGTATTGCATTTAGCAAATCTGCTGCAAAAGACTTCTACTGAAGTGTTAAAAAGCAAAGATGTTACTTTGAGGACTAAGGTACACCTGACCCAAGCCATGGTATTTTCAGTCACCTCATATGCTTGTGAAAGCTTGACATTGAATAAGGAAGATTGAAGAAGAATTATGGTGTTGGTGAAAAATATTTACTATACCATGCACTGCCAGAAGAATGAACAAATCTATCTTGGAGGAAGTACAGCCAGAATGCTCCTTAGAAGTGAGCATGGCATGACTTCGTCTCACATCCTCTGGGCATGTTATCAGGAGGGACCAGTCCCTGGAGAAGGACATCATGCTTGGTAAAGTACAGAGTCAGTGAAAAAGAGGAAGACCCTGAAGGAGATGGACTGACAGTGGCTGCAACAGTGGGTCAAACACAGCAATGATTGTGAGGATGGTGCAGGACCCAGCAGTGTTTTGTTCTGTTGTATGTAGTGTCGCGGTGAGTCAGGGCCAACTGAGTGGCACCTGACGACAGCAACACTCAGTCCTTCTCTGGCCTTGCTCGTGTTGTGTTGACTGAATCTCTTCAGTTTTGAGGGAAGTATGTTAGATTCTCACACTTGAACTGCACTTCTGTGAAGTTCACCTTATGTTTTTTAGTCTGTGTATTATGTGCTACAGTTTTTTTTTCTTTTGCGTATTCAGGTGTTTGAGTGTTATATCTTCTTTAAAGATTGCTCCTTTTGTCGTCATCCCGTGATGTCCCTGTCTTCTGTTGAGCTCTTTCACCCTGACTCTCAGCGTGGCTGATGTTAACAGTGTTTCTGTGTCTGCTCTGGCCTGGTGTCTGGGAGCTTGACCCTTTGTTTTCAGCCTTTGTAGCCACTTTGTGTTTCTTCCACATAGCATGTAACTGGGTTTGTTTGTTTTAACACATTGTGTCTTTTTTAAGGAAAGAATTTGATTCTTTCACATTTAGATTGTTGACTAATATTGTTGACTTTTATGCCTCTCCTCATGGAGCCTTTTCAACATGATTTATAATTACTGTGGATTTCTTTGTTTCCTTTTGTTCCCTTTCCATGTTTTTGTTGGTTTTGATCAAGTTACTATTTTTTTCTCAGTTTGTAAGTTCCACTGTAATTTTATTTTTCTTTCACAATCATTTATCTCTGTATTACTTGAAAACAAGGTATCAGCTGTTTCCTCTAACAAGGCCACCTTCATTCATCTGACTCCCTCACCTCTCCCTTTAGTACGTTTGCTCCTCTGCTCGCATTCCTCTCCCCATCTCTTAGGTTTGCTGAGGTCATTTAATATTTTTAGTTCTGGACTGTTAGTATAATTTTTGCAGGTGTGCCTTCTGTAAAGGGAACTTAACTCACTCCGGTATTGCCTAGTCCCAGGGAGCTGAAGAATGTACAGACCTTGGTCTTGCTCTGCTCGGGCAGGTTTTCTTCTGTCACGACTCCTCCTTTTCCTTCTGTTGGAACTCTGCTGTTACCAGGTCTGTGTCTAGGCTCTCCTCCAAGGCGTTTACTTTCTACCTAGGATTTCCTTCTCCTTGTGTTTTTGCTTCATGCTTTAAGATTTCTTATATTTGATCTTCCAAGTCACATTTTTAGTCTCAACTGTGACTTTTCTTCTGATTCACCTACCAAAGTTCTAGTTTAAAAATCATGTTTTTTTCGGTGTAGAAGGCCCCCCCCATACTGTACTTGAGTCTTTATCACCATAATCTTATTTTTGGTTCGGTGTTGCCTTCCTCCTCCCACAGCTTGTCTGTTAGGCTTGTCTTGGGGGCGGGAGAAATGAAGCACACCCACATGGCTCCTCACCCTCCTACTCCTGGGTCCTCACTCCCAGGGCCTCTGCTCACCATACCCTTCCTGTGACCCCCTGCATTCCTTCCTTTGCCAGAGGGCTTTTCAGAATCATCGCTGGGTTGTCTTCTGGCCTAGCGTTTCCATTTTCCTTCAATGTTGTCTTAATTCCATGACCTAGGCTTGAATCACTTTAGGTAGTCTAGATTGGAAACCCTGGTGGCGTAGTGGTCAAGAGTTCGGCGGCTAGTCAAAAAGGTTGGCAGTTTGAATCCACCAGGCGCTCCTTGGAAACCGTGTGGGGCAGTTCTCCTTTGTCCTGTAGGGTGGCTATGAGTTGGAATCGACTAGACGGCAGTCGGTTTGGTTTTTTTGGTTTGAGATCTAGCTTTACCTGCCTCCTTAGTCGATAGTTGTTAGATTGAGCTTTATGCTTTACCCAGTACTCCCCCGTCTCACGCTTAGTAATCCATCGTAGCAAACACTTCAGAGTCTGTATAAGTGTCTCTTACCCATTCTCACACCCCCTCCTCACCTAGACTGTGGGCTACAACGGCAGAGAACCAAGAGCCAGGACTGCAGCATGAATCTTGTGTGTGATAGATTAGTAGAGAATTAAAGTTGACAGATCCTGCTAACGGCTCACCTTAGTTAGACCAGGCCACACATAGGGTGGGTGGCCTCATTTCTTCAGAGGTACATTTTCCTTGAAAAGGGGAACTTGGGGGTCAACTGTTCAGGAGTGTTAGGTTTAGCCTTGAGAAAAATGGGAAGACAAGAAGTGATAGAAACTTTCTCATAAGTTTGTAAGCTCATCAGGAATCAATCTGACTGCAGTCCTCCCTCCTGGCCTTGTTACCAAGGTCAGCCCACACACAGACCCCGCATCCCGGGTCTCCAGGGCTTGTGTACTTGGTGTAGAAATACCACATATCACTAAGACTATCATCTCACTGCTCACTTGGTCCTTCTGTCCGTCCCTCTTGCTCACAGTTGTAGTTCTCAGTGTTCCATGTGCCAGACAGGGTCGTAGCCCAGTTCTGAAAGGGCGCTAGGAATCTCTTAACAGATGGCACATGTCAGGTTAGAGCTCCAGGCAGTGGCATCTCTTCCTCCTTGAAAGGTTTCAAAGAGAGAAGGGGAATTATGTAACTCAGAGTTTGGGGAAGCACGTCTTTTTCTATCATCATATCTTTACTACCTAGTGTACGATAAGTACTGGAAAAAAGTTTGAATGTTGAAAATACGGAATATACGTGGGTATATATATAGATATGGGTGCTTTCATCAACCTCTGACTTTTTTAATCTAATTTGCCTTTATGCTGAGAGATGATTACTTCATCATTTCTGGGGAAGTATTTGATATAACTGAGAAGCTAAGTGAGACAGAAGCTGTGGATGACTTATGTATAAATCAGTTACAGGTCAGTTCATACCAAATTAAATACATGTGTGTATGTGTGTGTACATAATACACACGTATATGTATGTATGCATATACATGCACACATGCCTTGTATGTATACACGAGTACATGTACATTTATACACATACATGTATCTGTTTTTCAACAGGTTGAGGAAACTTCACTCGAGATGTCTAAGGTAAGAGATCACACTTCATGTGTCTACAGTATAAGAAAAAATTGCTTTAGGGTTTCACACTGTTGACAGTCAGGATTTCCAGTGTTTACTTAATTTATATGATTCATGTTTTTAATACAACGGATGTATTTGATCCATTAAGACCGGAAGAGCTCTAATTTAATTGTCACCGTAAAAGCTTTGTGTGTTCTCTGTGTTCAGGTTTCCATTTTCTTGTTTCTAAATACATCACTAAAAATTCTTTCTGCCTCCTTAGATCATTCCCAGCAGACCAATCAGATTATCATTTAAAATCTGATAATTTATAATGATGAAATTGATAGGGCTGTTAGACTTGATAATTGGCTTGGATCAGCTCTTTCAAGTTAGCACAGAGCTGGGAGCCCTGAGATAGTTCTCGGAGACATGCCGAGGAAAGCAGAACTTGTGGTTCAAGTTGCAAGGTTATTACTGCTCTTCATCTCTTTTTTGAGTCATTGTTATCAGATGCATAATCTTCAGGGCTATTTTTACTTTTTTAGAAGTACTTTCAGTTGTGGACATATGATGAAACACAGATAAAAAGAAGAGAAGAGAAATTAGCCTTAATCCCACTACTCGGAAATAAGCGCTGTTAACACTTTTCGTGCTTGTATTTATCATTTTTATTTTTTAAACTTTTCACGTTTTCAGTAAACATTTTTTAATAGTTGTACAAAGGTAGCATTCATTTGACCAGTTGCTTCTTTTACCCAGCATCCCTGGGTGGTGCAAATGATTAACAGGCTTGGCTGCTAACCAAAGGGTTAGAGGTTTGAGTCCACCAGAGGCACCATGAAAGAAAGGCCTGGTGATCTGCTTCCAAAAAATCAACCATTGAAAACCCTGTGGAGTCCAGTTCTGCTCTTACAAATGGGCTCTCCATGACTCAGAGTCAACTCGATGACAACTGGTTTTCTTTGGCCTAGCCTGAAGCACCATAAAGTATTCGTTAATGCCAGAACTTTTGCAAAATCTGTCACAATAATGATAACTTACAAGTTTTTCTTTTTCCCAATATTTTATTATTGAAAGTTTTCAAACATTCAGAAATGCAGAAAGAGTTTCACAGCGACACCCATATGCCCACGGCCTGGATTCTGCAGTTTTACTGCGTCTCCATCTGTCATCCTCTTCCACTTCCGCAGGAGCATTGATGCTTCTGTGTAGTCAGCTGTGACACTCTCTTATCCTCAGTCTTCTGGTTCTGGGGTGCTGGCATCCCCTCCCGTGGGGAGGCTCTGTTCTGTGGGGCAAGCGGATGCAGCAGGAGAGATGGCTTTTTGACAGATGCTTCACACGTGGTGCCTGGGAGTGTTTGCCTAGAAGCCTCTCTGAGTTTAGCTAAGTTTGAACGCAGCCACTGTCAGATTGGACATTACTTTGTAAGCTTGACTGATCTTCCTGTAGCCCTGGAGATAATTCTCAGGTCAAAATTTAAAATTGCACTAGGGTAAATTAAACATATATCTTCTTTATGTATGCTAGATTGCTAAACAGGATACTGATAACCAAATTGTTAATTCTAGGTAATATATAGCTAAGAAATTCTTTAATACTTGTTCTTAAGTGGATGCTATCACTTTTCCAATAAAAGCTTGACTTTTTGGAAGTGTTGATTTACATGTGATTTTTTTTAATTTTTGAGAACTTATGATACCTGTATTTGTGATAGACCTAACTGATTATGTTTTTTAAAAGCAACCACTAAAGTGTTTATTTACTCTTTTTTTAAAATCTCATTTTAGCAGCAACCAGCTCAGTTTATAAATCCCGAAACACCTGGCTATGTTGGATTTGCAAATCTTCCCAATCAAGTTCACCGAAAATCAGTGAAAAAAGGTTTCGAGTTCACACTAATGGTTGTTGGTAAGAAATTAATTTAATAATATATAAATATTTGATAATTATTAAGTAGACTTAAAAGATTATTAAGTTGCTAAATAATGTGGATATCATCCTTTCCCAAAGTTTGGAGTATAATAGTATGAGTTACAAAGTTAGAGGAAAAATTCTTCTTGGCAGAGCCAAATAACTTGGGAATTTGAAAAAATATATATTATATGGAAATTTTTCCTGAATGGTAAAGTATTTTTTCTGTCATTTCCTTATTTCATGTAGCAAAAGTTTTTACTCATAGTGGTAGCCAGCCTCTAGAGCAACCCTGTCATGGATTGAATTGTGTCCCTCAAAAAATATGTATCAACTTGTCTAGGCCATCATTCCCAGTATTGTGTGATTGATTGTTCACCATTTTATCATCTGATGTGATTTTCCTATGTGTTGTAAATCCTGCCTCTATGATGTTAATGAGGCAGGACTAGAGGCAGGTGCCTTAATGAGGCAGGACTCAATCTATAAGATTAGATTGTGTCTTAAGTCAGTCTCTTTTGAGATATAAAAGAGCGGGCAGAGAGACGGGGACCTCATACCACCAAGAAAGTAGTGCCAGGAGGAGAGCACGTCCTTTGGTCCCAGAGTCCCTGCGCTGAGAAACTCCTAGACCGAGGGAAGATGGATGACAAGGACCTTTCCCCAGAGCAGACAGAGAAGTCCTTCTCCTGGAGCTGGCGCCCTGAATTCAGACTCCTAGCCTACTAGACTGTGAGAGAATAAACTTCTGTTTATTAAAGCCACCCACCTGTAGTATTTCTGTTAAAGCAGCACTAGATAACTAAGACAGACCCGTAATGATTCTTGCCTCCTGACACCCAACCTTTCCTTGTCCCTCCACACTGATGAGCTGAGTGTCCCTCTCCTGTGATCCTGACTCATCATCCCCAGCCCGCCATCACACCCAGTGCCAAGCATTCCAGCTTGAGCTATAGTTTGTTTTGTTTTAGCCTAAGTTTCCAACAGTAGAACTTCAGTTAGAGTAAAACCTAAAGCTTCTTTGGGAGTTTACCTGATGGGATTTCAGAAAGAAGAGGAAGTCTTAGTTGCTCTTGTTCTTTATCTCGTGGTGCCCCCTTGTGCCTGAGACTGTCGTATTTCTGACACGTAAACTCCGTGAACCCCGTTCATTCCCTGCACTTTGTCATCGCTCCTGTGACTTTTGTAGCATGTTTGTATTACAGATTTTGAATAGTGATGGACTTACACTGGTCCACATCTCTTCTTGCACCAATCTCAGAGACCCCAAGCTGGGATGGAGATGTTAGAGAAAATGGACCAGAGCACAGCTTGGTGCTCCCAAGGTCCGGCCCGGGCCGTGTAGTTATGCCCTGTCTGTGTTGGTAAGCAGGCCACCTGTAGACGTGCTCCGGAAGCTGTTCCACGTGAAATAATCACATTATTATTGTTGTCAGGTGCCGTCGAGTCTGGTCGGACTCACAGTGACCCTGTGTACAACACAACGGAACACTCACTGCCCTGTCCTGCACCGTTCTCACAGTCGTTACGCTTGAGCCTATTGTTGCAGCTACTGGGTCAGTCCATCTCCTTGAAGGTCTTCCTCTTTTTCACTGACCCTGTATTTTACCAAGCATGAAGTTCTTTTCCAGGGACTGATCCCTCCTGATAACATGTCCAAAGTATGTGCGACGAAGTCTAGCCATTCTTGCTTCTAAGGAACATTCTGGCTGTACTTTTTCCAAGACAGATCTGTTCGTTCTTTCAGCAGTCGTTCCGTGGTGTGTTCAGTGTTCTTCACCAACACCATAATTCAAAAGCGTCAATTCTTCAGTCTTCCTTATTCACTGTTCAGCTTTCACATGCGTATGAAGTGATTGAAAACACCATGGCTTGGATCAGGCGAACCATAGTCTTGAAGGTGATATCTTTGCTTTTCAACACTTTAAAGAGGTCTTTTGCAGCAGATTTGCCCAGTGCAATGCGTCATCTGATTTCTTGACTGCTGCTTCCATGGGTGTTGATTGTGGATCCAAGTAAAATGAAATCCTTGACAACTTCGACCTGTTCTCCGTTTATCATGATTTTGCTTATTGATCCAGTTGCAAGGGTTTTTGTTTTCTTTTATGTTGAGGCATAATCCATACTGAAGACTGTAGCCTTTGATCTTCTTCAGTAAGTGCTTGAAATCCTCTTCACTTTCAGCAAGCAAGGTTGTGTCGTCTGCATATCGCATGTCGTTAAAGAGTCTTTCTCCAATCCTGATGCCCTGTTCTTCATGGAGTCCAGCTTCTCAGATCATTTGCTCAGCATACAGATTGAATAAGTTTGGTGAAAGGATGTAACCTTGATGCACACCTTTCCTCATTTTAAACCATGCAATATCCCCTTGTTCTGTTTGAACAGCTGCCTCTTGATCTATGTACAGGTTCCTCGTGAACACAAGTGTTCTGGAATTCTCATTCTTCCCAGTGTTATCCATAATTTGTTTATGATCCACACAGTGGAATGTCTTTGCATAGTCAATAAAACACAGGTAAACATCTTAGGTATTCTCTGCTTTCAACCAGGATCCATCTGACATCAGCAGTGATATCCCTGGTTCCATGTCCTCTTCTGAATCCAGCTTGAATTTCTGGCAGTTCCCTGTCGATGTACTGCTGCAGCCACTTTTGAATGATCTTCAGCCAGATGTTACTTGTGTGTGGTATAAATGATATTGTTGGATGATTTCTGCATTTGGTCGGATCACTTTTCTTTGGAATAGGCATAAATATGAATCTCTTCCAGTCAGTTGGCCAGATAGCTGTCTTCCAAATTTTTTGGCATAGATGAGTGAGCACTTCTGGGCTGTATCCGTTTGTTGAAACATCCCAATTGATATTCCATCCATTCCTGGAGCCTTGTTTTTCACCAGTGCCTTCAGTGCAGCTTGGACTTCTTCCTTCAGTACCGTCGGTTCCTGATCCTATGCTACCTCCTGAAATGGTTGAACGTCGATCAATTCTTTTTGGCACAGTGATTCTTTGTATTCCTTCCATCTTCATCTGATGCTTCCCGCATCATTTAGTATTTTCCCTGTAGAATCCTTCAGTATTGCAAATCAAGGCTTGAATTTCTTCTTCAGTTCTTTCAGCTTGAGAAATGCCGAGCATGTCCTTCCCTTTTGGTTTTCTACCTCCAGGTCTTTGCACATGTCGTCGTAATAGTTCACTTGATGAGCGGCTGCCCTGATGGGCTAGAGCACGTCGTGACGGGTGCATTCAGCACGCAGTTCTGGGTCATCCTGTCCACGTGCCTCCTCACCCGTGAGCGCTGCAGCCTAGTTAAAGTGCAGTCTCAGTTTTAGAAACCTACACATTGCAAACTCACTCTTTTGTTCGGATTCTCCCTGCAATAATGATTTTTCATACATGTCTGCTCTTTTGTCTACGAATGTGTGCGTGTTGTACCTGATGTAACAAGTGTGTTTCACACTTGGCTCACAGCTGACTGACATAAAGCTTAGAAGCACACGTCTGTTCAGAATTGAGCCTTATAGGATAACCTGCAAAAAAGTTAGGAAATTTGTTCATGCTTCTTACAAATGAAAAAAATCAGTCAGCAGTCACTTAAGATCTGTGCTTCTTTCTGAAACAAAATTTAATTTTTGATCGTTTGCATATTCTTTAAAGTTAAATTTGAAGTGTTCAGGATACGTAGTTACAGTAGGTGATGATTTCCTGACTCATTAAATGCTTGAATGAACGCTATGCCCAGATGGATCATCTCACACTCACGCGCGTGAGCTGAAGTTGCTGGACGTCGGGTGGCTTGTCGTGAGAAATGGGAGTATGTGAACTGACGGGAAGAAGGGCAGCCCTGCCTTGTGGGGGATGTGGCGTGACTGTGTGAAGGAGTCTTGGTTGTCCTTCCCAGTCACGTTTGCTGTCCCACTTGTCCGTGCATCGAGTGGCTGTCCTGCTGTCCACAGCTCGGGAAGCATTGTCATCATTGCTAAAGAGGTGCGTTTAGAGTTTTCTGAAATGTGGCGAGTTTAACAATTTGCAGAGCTCATAACTGAAAACCTGTTTTGCATTCTGTTTATCAAAAAAAAAGACCAACTGCTGAAGTCCATTCCCCACACGTGTGAAGAGAGAGGGCTACGTTTCTGATCACATGGTGCAGTGGAGCACAGACCCTGTGTCCCACAGACCTGAGCCAGTCGTGGCCCAGGCCAGCAGCAGCTGGCCTTGAGCATGCTTGCTCGTCCGTGAGACGAGATGGGCATTGTGAGGGGTACACAGCGTGATGCTGGTGAGGTTCTGAGCAGTGCCGGGCCTCAGGAACCTCCGAGCACTGAACTGTCACTGTGCCACGTGGGTATGGTTGTGACAGTGTTTTCATTCCCACGAAAGGTGAATCGGGACTGGGAAAGTCAACGCTCATAAACAGCCTGTTCCTGACTGACCTCTACCCAGAAAGAGTCATACCCGGAGCTGCAGGTAAGAAGCCTATGCCCAGCCGTGAGGCAGTTCTGTGTGAAAGCCATGCAGAGCGTACAAGTGATGTTTTATGCTGTGGTCCTGCGTGTATGTGCGTGCGCGCGCCTGCGCTTTATCTTTAAACCTGGGACGCGTCACTAGGGAGTGGTGTGCTGCACCCGGAACCACGGACCTTGGTTATGGACCTTCTTTGGGCACCTGTGCATCCTGTGTGTGAAATGGTGGTGGACAGTCTCCTGTACTGTAGGTCTGGTGAGGGGTCAGTGGAATGTTTTATACTGTGACGCGCTGTGAGAGAAGATCACTGTAGGCATGAGTGTGGTCCGGCTGTTTGACCCGCTGTCTTGAGTGTCCCCGTGCAGGGCAGCAGCGCCCACGTGTGCTCGTGGGGTGGACAGACGGGGCGATGAGTCAGGGCTGGGATGGGCTGGCACAGCAGGAATGAGAGCTCTTTACTAATATTCCCAGAGTCAGCTTTTAAGTAAGTTCTTAAGTTATTTTCTGTTTTCTTTGTTCCAAGGACAGAAATTATTGTATTTAATCTTGGCATCTTAATCTTCCCAAGTGTCTCATTAATCTTGGCCTCAGCTTTTCCCTCGCTGACTTTGGGATGGTTTTTACACCAGGCTTATGGTAATCTCTGAGAACCTGCCTCGAAAGAGAGGCAGTGAGACTCCCAGTCACTTGTTTCTAAGCACACGAGTAACAGGCAGTGTCTCCTCTTCACATACTGCTTTATTTTTAAGGTACGTTCCTCATTGAATCTGTTTCTTTTATAGAAAAAATTGAGAGAACTGTCCAGATCGAGGCCTCCACCGTGGAGATTGAAGAGCGTGGGGTGAAGCTGCGACTGACGGTGGTGGACACGCCCGGCTACGGTGATGCCATCAACTGCCGAGACTGGTGCGTGCCGCGCGCCCGCCTGTGCTCGCCTGGCTTAACGTGTTGATGGTGTTCGTGAGTGGTTACTGGGTTTGGGGTAACCACGTACAGAATGATGAGACCGTTTAAAGTTCATCAGACATGTATTTTTTTAAAAGGAATTTTACAATGAGTTGAGCTTTTTCTCTGAGGCCACTTCAGTGAAATCTGAGGGTGCAAAGTTGGCTGTCTTTTAGTGCTGCGTCAGTGAAGCAACTTGATTTGCACCGTGTCATTCGGTAGAGCACCGAGAAGGCAGGCAGAGCACCAAGCTGGCAGGCAAGGCACTGTGGTGCAGGCAGAGCATCGAGCCAGTGGGCGGGACACTGTGCTGCAGGCAGGGCACCAAGCCGGCGGGCAGGGCAACGAGCCGGCGGGCAGGGCAACGAGCCGGCGGGCAGGGCGCTGTGGCTCAGGCTTCCTCCTCTGTGTAAGGAGGAAACGAAGCCTGTGGCAGAGTCACCTGAGACAGGGCTGCAGACTACTACTCGCTGGCGTCACAGTCACAAATAAGGAACTTGAGATGCAGAGACGACAGCAGTCCGTCACCTGTAGCCGTGCAGGAAGGTCCCTTTTGTAGTATGGAATCTCTCTTGGCCCACTCCCTGCATCGTGCCCCTCCCCTCTACCCTGGCCGCTCCCGCACACGCACAGGTGCTCCACTGTTCACACCTTAACCAGCCTGTCCCTGATCCCATGCTCTGCGCAGCTCCCTTCCCGATCAGGCCCTGGAAGGGTTGGAAGCCCTGTCTCTACTTTGTCATCCTCAGGCGCCTTGTGACCCATCCCATTCAGGCTGCTGATTCAGCGCTGAGGCAAAATGCCGCTTGTTGCAGTTTTGAAAATCCCCGGAGTCAGTTTTCTGCCCCATCTTACAAATGCCTCAAGTTATGCGTTGGAAGGGGGAAGGAGGACTTGTTTTCTCTCTGGAGCTGGGGCTGCCTTCTGCACCTCCCAGTTACTGCTGATGTCTGTGTCTCAGCTTTAAGACCATCATCGCCTACATCGACGAGCAGTTTGAACGGTACCTGCACGATGAGAGTGGCTTGAACCGGCGGCACATCGTCGACAACAGGGTTCACTGCTGCTTCTACTTCATCTCGCCTTTCGGGCACGGGTAAGGGGGCGTTCCCACGGAGACTGGCGTGCAGGTTGACGGTCATCCTCATCACACTGAGGCTGGCGTGTTTTCCCCACGCTGAGTGTTTTCAGAAAAGAACTGAGGTGACCATTTGCTCTTATTCTTTTCCTAAACTTCGGATTCATGAACAATTTCTTTAGACTGAAGCCCTTGGATGTTGCATTCATGAAAGCGATTCACAATAAGGTGAACATCGTGCCTGTCATCGCCAAGGCTGACACCCTCACGCTGAAGGAACGGGAGCGCCTGAAGAAAAGGGTGAGTCTTAGATTGCTTCCGCTCTGTCTCTGGGCAAGTGCAGAGCCGCGACCTGGGAAGGAATGGGAGGAAGGGTGTCAGGAGGCTCCGTGCTTGTCTGTTGATGTCTGAGGAGGCAGGGCTGTGGGACTGGCTCTGAGCTCTGGGGTGTTGTTTTTAGGGAGCACCTGGTTTTGAGCAGACTTGCAGTTACTTTTGGGGTGTTGTTTTTAAGGAACAGCTAGTATTGAGCAGACGTGCAGTTACTTTTTAATGTTTTGCCTTCATGAAGGTATCAGATTACTGTTGTGTATAATTGTCCTGAATACGCAGAAGGTAGCTGAATCAGAACGATTCCACGTGTCCGATAAATGAGTGAATGCAGACCTGTGCTCATCTCCGTGGATTTCTATTGTTTTCGCTAGATGCAGACATACCTCATTTTATTGCACTTTGCAGATGTTGCATTTTTTACAGATTGAAGGTTTGTGGCAACCTTGCCTCGAGCAAGTCTGTCAGCGTCATTTGTCCAATGGTGTGTGCTCACTTCATGTCTCTGTCACATTTCAGTAATTCTTGCAGTATTTCAGACTTTTTCATTATTATCATATCTGTTACGGTGATCTGTGATCTGTGATCGTTGATGTTACTATTGTAATTGTTCTGGGGTGCCGCGAACCACACCCGCGTAAGACAGTGAACTTAACAAACGTGTGTGTTCTGACTGCTCCGCCAACCGGCTGTTCCCCCATCTCGCTGCATCTCCTCAGGCCTCCGTATTCCCTGAGACGTGACAATGTTGAGATCAATAACTCTACAGTGACCTCTAAGGGTTCAAGTGAAAGGAAGAGTTGCAGGTCTCTCACTTTATATCAAAAGCTAGAGATGAATGAGCTTAGTAAGGAAGGCATGTGGAAAGCTGAGACAGGCCGAAAACTAGGCTGCTTGCGCCAGTTAGCCCAGCTGTGAATACAAAGGAAAAGTTCTTGAAGGAAATTAAAAGTTGCTACTCCAGTGAACACACGAATGATAAAGCGAAACAGCCTTATTGCTGATACGGAGAAAGTTTTAGTGGTCTGAATAGGAGATCAAACCAGCCACAACATTCCCTTAAGCCAAAGCCTAATCCAGAGCAAGGCCCTAAATCTCTTCAACTCTGTAAAGGCTGAGAGGTGAGGAAGCTGCAGAAGAAAAGTTTGAAGTGAGCAGAGGTTGGTTCATGAGGTTTAAGGAAAGAAAGCGTTTCTATAACTTGAAAGTGCAAGGTGAAGCACCAAGTGATGATGTAGAAGCTGCAGCAAGTTATCTAGAAGAGCTAGCTAAGATAATGGACGGAGGTTGCTACAGTAAACAACAGATTTTCAATGTAGATGAAAAGGCTAACTCTCTTGTTAGGGGCTAATGAAGCTGGTGACTTTAAGTTGAAGCCAATGCTCATTTACCATTCGGAAAATCCTATGGCCCTTTAAGAATTTCACTAAATCTACTCTGCCTGTGCTCTATAAATGGAACAACAAAGCCTGGATGACAGCACATCTGTTTCCAACATGGTTTATTGAATATTTTGGGCCCACTGTTGAGACCTACCACTTAGGAAGAAAAAGCTTCCTTTCAAAATTGACAGTGCACCTGGTCTCCCAAGAGCTGTGATGGAGGTGTTCAAGGAGATTGATGTTGTTTTCATGCCTGCTAACACAGCATCCATTCTGCAGCCCATGGATCAAGAGTAATTTTGACTTCCAAGTCTTACTGTGTGAGAAGGACATTTCGTGAGGCTGTAGCTGCCATAGGTGGTGATTCCTCTGATGGATCTGGGCAAAGTCAATTGAAAACTTTCTGGAAGGGAGTCACCATTCTAGATGCCATGAAGAACATTCGTGATGTATGGGAGGAGGTCAAAAGATCAGCATCAACAGGAGTTTGGAAGAAGTTGATCCAACCCTTATGGATGACTTTGAGGGATTCAAAACGTCAGTGGAGGAAGTGATTGCAGATGTGGTGAAAACAGCAAGAGAGCTAGAATTAGAAGTGGAGCCTGAAGATGTGGCTGAATTACTGCAATCTCTTGATAAAACTCTAATGGATGAGGAGTTGCTTCTTATGAATGAGCAAAGAAAGTGATTTCTTGAGACAGAATGTACTCCTGGTGAAGATGTTGTGAACATTGTTGAAATGACAACAAAAGATTTAGACTGCTACATAAACTTACTTGATAAAGCAGTGGCAGGGTTTGAGAGAATTGACTCCAATTTTGAAAGACATTCTACTATGGGTGAAATGCTGTCAAACAGCATCACATGCTACAGAGAAGTCTTTCATGAAAGCAAGAGTCAATCTATGTGGCAAACTTCACTGTTGTCTTATTTGAAGCAATTGTCACAGCCTCCCCAACCTGCAGCAACCACCACCCTGATCAGTCAGCAGCCATCAGTGTCGAGGCGAGACCCTCCACCAGCAAAAAGATTATGACTCGCTGAAGGCTCAGATGATGGTTGGCATTTTTTAGCAATAAAGTAGGGTTTCCAAGGAGTGCCTGGTGGATTTGAACTGCCAAACTTTTGGTTAGCAGCCGTAGCTCTTAACCATTACACCACCAGAGTTTTCCAGCAATATTTTTTAATTAAGGTACGTACGTTGTTTTTTTAGACATAATGCTATTGCACGTTTAATAGACTACCAACCCATTGCCGTTGAGTCGATTCAAACTCATAGCAACACTACAGGACAGAGTAGAACTGTCCCATAGAGTTTCCAAGGAGTGGCTAGTGGATTCAAACTGCCAACCTTTTGGTTAGCAGCCAAGCTCGTAGCCACTACACTACCAGGGCTCCACCGTATGATGTAAACATAACTTTTATATGTACTGGGAAACCGAAAAATTTGTGTGACTCACTTTGTTGCGATACTTGCTTTACTGTGGTGGTCTGAATCCAAACCCACAGTATCTCCGAGGTTTGCCTGTACTTGACTTCACACGGCCTGGTTAGGAATTTAAGTATGGTGGTTCTATGAGTCGGAGTTGACTACAATGGGTTTTTTTTTCCTAAAGGTTTTACGGGCCTGCTTTTTGCGTCTTCGAGTGCGAGTTGCCACTGTGAGTCCGTCAGTCCGTCCTTGTGCCCCCACGGTGCCCCTATCCCACTTGTGCTTTCTCCAGGAAGCCTCTGTCGACTATCTGCTCCATGTTCTTCCACATGATCTACCTGTTTCTCATTGTGTGTTCATTAGGGAAGTTCAGATAGTTGAGTTATACTAAACTCTGAAAACGAGAGCTCCTTTACCCACAGAGCAACCACTGTTTGCCATAGAGATCCCTCCAGAATTTACTGTTGTTTTCACAGCATGGGATCATGTTGCGCATACTGTTTTGCCATTTGATTTTTCGAACTGGATGTATATCTAAACCTCGTCACATATAAACCAAAAAGAAACTCAGTGCCATCAAGTCAATTCTGACTCACAGCGACCCTACAGGACAGAGTAGAACTGCTCTGTAGGGTTTCCGAGGAGCAGCTGGTGGATTTGAACAGCCTACCTTTTGTTTAGCAGCTGAGCTCTTAACCACTGCGCCACCAGGGCTCCTCCTCATATGTACCTGTACTGTAATTCTTAGCGGCTGCCCTGTGAGAACATACTGTAATTTAATGAATTCTCAATTGATGAATATTTGACTCATTTTTGATACTTTGGTCTCTCTTTATCTCTGACCAAACTCTCTGTTGCTGTCCCCTTGCTCTTCAGACCAGGTGCGTTCCTACCTTAGGGCCTTTTCACTAGTGAGCCCTCTGCCTGGGAAATCCCTCGCCAGATGTCTGCACCGCGAGCTCTGTCACATCGTGTGATTTCGTGCTGTCCTGGCTTTGCTCCATCACTCCCCACAGGCCCCCCGTGGTGTACTCCTTGGCATCCCTGCCCCTCAGTGCCCAAGGTCAAGGTATTTGCTTTGTTCCCTGATGTGCCCCTAGCACGTAGCAGTCCCCGTGATGTCTGCCGAGCAGTCGCGGTCACGAGTGGTCGGCCTCCTGTTCTCACCGTGTGTGACTCAGGCCGATTGTTCGACACAGGGATGTTTTGGAAAGATGGCTGTGTTTCCCAAAAAATGTTTGTTACAACTTACATCCCCACTCCCTGAACAGTCCTGTATATGTTTCCAGGTTTTGAAAAGCATTTCCTGTCTGACAATGAAGAGCAATGTCTTGCTTTAATGGGCATTTCCTTGATGTCTCGTGGGCGTGGAAGCTTGTGCTTGGAGGTGGTGCCTGTTGGAACTTTCTCTCGTGTTTCGGAGCCATGGCTCTTTCCTAGAGTTTTTAAAATTGATTTATAGTTATTCCTTATATTTTTAAACTTTGTTATGTTGCAAATGATTTCTCTTGGTTTGACTCACTGTTTCAAGTGCCTGCCAATTTTTAGAAAATATTTGGGCCACTGGAAGAGTTCTGTAAGCATAGACATTTTTATGCCTGAGAGTAAATATTGTAGCAACTTTTGCTTAAGGAAACTTCACTTTTTATACCTTGTTGCGTTAAATTTCAGAGTGGAGAGTGGGGGACGCCGGCGTCAGAATGCTTGGTCCCATCTCTTGTCTTGTATCCAGAACTGGGGCATTGCTGTGTTACAGGGCCTGAGATGAACTGGAGCACTTGGAGCAGCTCTCCACCTCAGGCCTTTTCAGCCGCTTCTCATCACCTGGTTCTTCTCTTTGTCTCCCTGATCTAGAGCAGCCTTCTGCCAGCCTCTCCGTGTTATAGTCTGAAGCTTTCTGTGGTGGTTATGTACCGTCTGCTTAATCCTGTCAGCTCTGGCTTCAGGCCGCCTGGCTGCACGTGTCCTGTCCCGGGCTCAGCCCCGTACCGTGTGCTGTGACGGGCAGCTCTTCCTGGAGTGTCCCTCTCTTGGCCTCTGGGCCCGTGTGCTCCGCTGTCCTCGCACTGTTCCTTCTGCCTGTTTTCCCACTGCCCGGACTTCTCCCTGAAAGTCACTTCCTTCGGGTTACTCTGATCCATACACCTGCTGCTCCCAAGGCGTCTGCTCTGACCAGCTGGGTGTCCTGTTCCTGCTCCACGTAAACACGAGTGTGAAGCACGGTCTTTCCCTACAAAGAAGCTTCTCTCCCACCTTCCCTACACACCTGGCCCCGCGCTTCCTGCTGTCACCCAGACTTAGAAACGTGTCATTAATTTTGAGTCTTCACTTTCTTTCTCCTCTCCCTCAAGTCTGAGTAGTCACCTGTGAAATCCCTCTCAAATCTGCTCCCTTCCTGGTATAAGCCGTCTGAGCGTCAGCAGAGACGGTGTTACAGCAGACCAGGACAGGCTGTGGGATGCGGAGCTGGGAGCAGAAAGCCAGCCTGACGGCTGTGAGTTCATGTCCATTCCCCAGGGCGAGAGGGTGCTTCCCCCATAGGAAGGAGGACTTGTGGAAGGACTGAAGGTCGAGTCGCAGGGTTTGGGGGTGAGGGCATTCTCTGGAGCCCTGAAGTGGTTTGGGCAGTGTGTTAGCCTGCCTGTCTTTGATCACACGGGGCCTGGAAGGTCCTCTTCTGAATGTCCGTCTTTTATGACCAGAGAGCAAGTCCAGTGTCGAGTGACAGGTCGGGTGTCTCCTGCTGAGTGTGCTTGTACCTCTCTTCTGCCAATGGCCAGGCCCTATAAATGGATAATTTCTTTTATGAGGATCAGCACAAAGCTGGTTCCTATGAGGCGGAGGTTAAAGATGTCCCAATTGTCGAGCTTTTCCAGACTGCTGTCCCACTCTGTCATCTCTAACATCACTACTCCCCCTCCCCTCGGTACTCTCGCTCCCGTTTTTGGGTTCCATAATTGGCTGCAACGTCTCACAGAACTCACAGACTGTACCTGCAGTTAAGTAGTTTATTAGGGAAGTAACAGGGTACAGCTTGGGATCAGGATCAACTTGGAAGTAACAGGTACAACAACTCAGGATGCAGCTGTTCCATCAGGACGGCTGCTTCTCACCCTCTGCCTCTAGGTCCTGCTGGGGCCTTCCTGCCAGTGGGCCCTGCTGGGGGCCTTCTCCCTCCAGGTCCTGCTGGGGGCCTTCTTCTGCCAGGTCCTGCTGGGGGCCGCCTTCTGCCAGGTCCTGCTGGGGCCTTCTCCTGCTGGGTCCTGCTGGGGGCTTTCCCGCTGCTGGGCCCTGCTGGGGTCCTTCTCCCACCAGGTCCTGCTGGGGGTCTTCTCCCTCCAGGTCCTGCT